CTAAACATATTATGGGGGAAAAAATAATTTTAACCCCAAAAAACACTGAACCCCCAAACCCCAGAACCATTAAATCTCCAAACCAAAAACCCAAAGCTACCAAATCCCTAAACAGCCCGAAGCCCTACACCATCAAACCCTCAAAGCCGCGCCTCGGTGTTCTGCAGCCGACGGGTTGTGGACAGCGGAGGCTCACGAAAGGCATATTAACAAACTCTCTACATGCACCCGATAAGTCGGCTTTGTGATTTTGCTTCCTGCTGCTTGAAAGTGGCTTCCCTTGCTCGAGCCTTGTCCTGGGGTGGTGGGAAAAGACCGGAAGAGTCGTGATCCTAAGTGGGCAAGGAATTTGCTTGTGATGATGAATGAATGAAGGAATGAATGAATGAATGAATGAATGAATGGACGAAGGAATGAATGAACGAAGAAGGAAGGAATGAAGGAAGGAAGGAAGGAATGCAGATGATGATGAGGATGATGACGATGATCATGATGAGAACGGTAGCAAAGATGGAGCTTGCTTACGAAGAACCTGGATAGACAGCCCATTGGCATCAAGCTGGGCAGAGAAAGGTACAGACAACATGAACGAGTTCCTCCGGAACTCAGTGTAGATAACAGCAGGTCAAAGAACAGCGACACGTTGTGATCAAGGGCACTGGGACTCGTTTTACTCCGCTCTGTAGTGTGCCACTCCCGCATCAGAAACGGGTGTCTGAGACAACTCGATTTCCTGAAGGGGGCTTCTTGGGTTGAAAATCTCAAGCTGGGGGTGCGGCCCTCAACCCTGCACCAGGACGCTCGACGAAAAGCTGAGAAACCTCTAAACCTGCATCGAAAGCCGCGGTGGACTCAGTTGACAAATGGATCTACGAACTCGGCCAGGGCTATGCTTCCGAAAACTGGCCGGTGACTATGCGTTCCTTCAAAACTTCAATCGGAACCAGCACCCTCAAAGGCCCCTGTCTGGCTCGACGCTCTCGAGGGGCTGGATACCAGGTAAACCTGCATGCATCTCGCTTGCTCGCATGTCCAACGCATGTCCAATTACAGAAATTCCCCCCTTCCCTTCCTTACATGCTTGTGCACACTTGCTCTGTCCCTCATCACTGTAGGAGGTCCAAACAGCCAGACCTTGAATCGTTCCCAGCTCCAGTGGCCAGGCAAGTCCTGTGCTTTCTTGCTCCCACTTGACACCATGTCCTGCACTGCTGTTGGATGCCCTCATAAGCACCATACTCTGGCTGTCTCTACAAGCATTTAAGCAATTTTGCAATCCAAAAAGCAAGAGTCCATTCCAAGCTCAACCCAGTGACGTTGCTCGACATGGAGATGAAGCGGCCCCTCCAGGGGTTATGCAAAGCAATCTGCTCGTTCCCAGCCGGCACCACCGCGAACTTCAGGCTGACCCAGTCGTCGGGCAGCTCGAGCGCAGACTTTTTGGCGCTGGCCTTAGCCGGTCTTGGACTTACCGTGTGGGAAAATCAGAACAGTTTGCGTTCCTGAATCCAGTCACATATTCTCACCATTGACCACACTTAAGCATGAGCTTTCTACGATTTGCCCGTAACGTGGTCGTATTCGCCGCTTCCTGGGTCTTGTGGTACGGGCAGGCCAGAAGTCCAAGATCATGCCGAGTTGCCCTCACCTTGCCGTCGCTTGTCATTGCCACGAAGCGATTGTACTTGGCACTGTGAAGAGCAATGAGACCGCCCCCCGCATCTACTACCTTGAAATACGTGTACGACCGAACCGAACTGGGTTTGTAGAATCCATGGATCGCACTGCGAGACATGTCTTCCCCATTCATGCGCATGAAGCGGTGGTGCTTGTTGCACCGGAAAGCAACGACAGACCCGGGCTCCAGGTAAAAGTAAGGATGGCCCTGGACCACGGTGAAGCGCTCGAATGTCCAATTGGGAGACAAGTCGTCTGCGTTCAAGTCTTTGTCTTTCGGCCTCATGGAGCCATCCGGCCGCATCTGCACGAAGCGGCGATGTGCTCGGCAATAAAGAGCGATCTCGCCTTTACCCGCATTCACAGGCGTGAATCGCTCAGATTTCCAACCGGTGGCTGGGAGCGTGGCCCTGTCGCCGCTCATGTCCATGTTCGTCTTACTCGCCATCCTGATGAAGCGGTTGAACCTCGGGTTGTGAAATGCGACTTCCCCGTTGCCTGCATCCACGACGGTGAAGTACTCGCGATCCCACGTTTTCTTCAGGTCTCGAGCCTTCATTTTTCCGGTCGACCCCAGATCTCTGCCTCGTCGCCTGTTCGAGACCTTGATGTATCGCTCGTGCTTCCTCAGCTGATCTAGGAGACTTCTGGACTACTCCAAGAAGCAAGTTGATAGAGCTTTAGCCCTAGACTGGAGTCTGCAGACCGTCACAGCTTTTTAAATTCACAGCTCAGTTTCTTGCTGTAGAGGGCGACCATGGTGCCCGGCTCGAAGACCGTGGGCGGCACATAGTTTGTGGAGAAGGAGCGGAGGGCATCCAAAGCCTTCTCCGTGCTCTTCGAGGACACGAACGGCAGAGCGTTCAGTGTCACAGCGAACCTTCGATCTTGGCTCAAAGCACTTCTTGCTGTTCACAACCTGAAACACTCTCGCATCATACCCATAGTCTATACTTAGGCCTTATGGGGGGACCTTAGATTGCCCGAAAGTCCAGGCAAGCGCATCATCTTCTGGAAGTCCAAACGAAAAAAGGCGTCGCCCTGATTAAAAAAGCCCCTGGAGCTGGTCTACGATGTCCACGAGCTTGAGCCTCTTCTCCTCGGACTCGAAAGGCCCGAAGCCCATGCGCATGCCGAGCTCGAGGCCTAGTTGCCCGCCCAGCCGTGCATACGCTTTCAGCTGTGAGCTATGTGCTTTGAAAGGCATTACGAATCTTAAAAAGTCAAAGATGCGAAAAGCCTAAAGCTCCAAGCTCTCCCAGGCACTGTTGCCGTCCAGCAGGCCCTTGAGCTGGAAGTTGATGTTGCCCGGGTGCTTGAAGCTGAAGAGCTGGAAAAGCGAGGAGCTGCCCGAGGAGCTCAGGCCCAAAAGCTCCTCCTTGCAGGGCGCTATCCGCCGCTTCATTAGACAAGGAAAGCCATTACACAAGGGATTCTCCAGCCATCCGCAAAGGCATAAAGTCAAAGATCACGGCCGATGAGAAGACGTAGCGGATACTTATCGCAAGAGCCCAACCTCCGCACTCAACACCAAACCTTAGACTTGCACTGGACCTTACTACAGTATCACACGATTGATCCAAACGCTGCGCTGCCTAAACCACGAACGAACACAACACCAGAAGTCCCATGAACCCCATTCCCACTCGCCCACTTCCCGAAACATGCAAAAAAACCCTAAAACCAAAATCCCAAGTCCTGAAACCAAGAATACACCAGAAAGACACAACACGACCAACACCGAAACAACAACGCATCAAACAACCAAAACCACCTTGACTCCTTTCCGGCCCACAGCACCACCTCTGCCCAGGAGCAGCAGCAGCAGCAGCAGCGGCGGCGGCGGCAGCGGCAGCGACAGCAGCCGCAGCAGCAGCCGCAGCCGCAGCCGCAGCAGCAGCAGCAGCCGCAGCAGCAGCAGCAGCATACTAGCAGCAGCGATAGCAGCAGCAGTAGCAGTAGCAGTAGCAGTAGCAGTAGCAGTAGCAGTAGCA